TGTGTTTCGATTTGACATTTTGAGTGCTCTCAGCTAACGGTGGTTTCTTCAAATTCTGTAAGCATCTCAAGCTTTTGATCAAGTGTTGTATCGCTCAGTTGTACTTTGCAAATATTTTGCTCTGCTATTGTAGCGACAGTTTGATAAGCAAGAAAGTGCAAGTGTGCTATCATCTCCTTCCTATTTCTACTGCCAACAATGACGTATTCAAAGACATCCGTCGGCCATATTGTTTGCAGTGTTTTGTTCCCTTTCACTCACCATCTTGTTGAAAAAACGTAAGCCTTTTCAGCTACATACATTAAAATTAAAATCGAAAAAAAAACAACAACGGAAGAAAGTAAGAAAGCTGAGACTATTTTGCGTGCTGCACTTTCAGCTGCTAGGTGAAAGCAAAATTGCGTTTTGTTAAGGAATTCGGCGTGACAATGAACACAAACCGTCTTTGGCAACGCGATAAAAATTATATGCTTTGAAAGTGATAGCATGTCAAATCTTAGCTCTAAAATTTTCATGGCACGATCCTATACCTATCCTGGAAGTCTACCTAGGAGAGAGCCAAGACGTCGAATACAAGCAAGCCCATAAGTGTTGCATCAAAAAACTGCGTTTGTAAAATTTTTGAAGAAAAAATGTCCGATTTGTATCATATACAGTGACCGCCAAAAAGTTGCTGGCAAGTTGCCTTGGTTCAGCGTTCATTTTGATGAAAAACCATGGTGAGAAAATGATTGGATTGCATGAGGTGATAGGGCTCTTCAAGGGCTACAATGCACACGTTGCGCTTCCTGGAAAACATGTATTATGAAAATTTTAAGAATTTTTTTCTAGAAAAAATATGAAAATGGTCGCGTCACAATGTCGCGAACAATAATTCTTCAAACGCGAAAATTTTCTTTTAGGTCTTTTTTTTGGAGCAAACCATAAATATTCCGAACAGATAAACATACCATATCATAGGGCTCATCGAGGACAACAATCAGGTAATGATTAATTCCAAAAAAAAACGCAAGTTTGAAGTCTTGCTTCTTAGAAAAATAACTTCTATTTTTCCCTAAAGAAAAATTTTTCACATGACCTATACAAGGCATCCCTATTCAAAGCTGTTCGGATAAAGTAGATGCTTTTTACCATTCTCCGTTCATCGGACGTGTGCTGGTGAGTTTCTTTGCTGAAAATGGCTCTCGACAGTGCGTGTACATGACCCTATCTGCGCCTCACCACTAACTTGTACCGGTTTGCAGGCTTGTAGCTCAGCCGTCAGGCAATCTACGAGTCTGTACTTAGACTCATTCGAAAGGGCGTGACTTTCTTGACACGATGTTATGCAAATAAGTTCAGTTTGAGCAATCGAAGAGATTTGACGGATGGGATGGAAGAGGGCAGCTTCAGTTGGAGGCCAATCATTTTTCAGCTAAAGTTGAAGAGAGTCGCTAACTTCATCCTAGAAGTTCAAAACTGTCAATATTCTTGTAATAGATCCATTTCGAAGCTCTTAGGCTGTTCTGATGTTCATAAGAGCCTTCATTCCAATCACCTCCAATGCTGCCCTCTTCCACCCCATCCGTCAAATCTCTGGGATTGCCCCAACTGAGCTTATTTGCTTACCATCGTATCGAGAAAGACACCCTTTCGATGAGCCTAAGCACAGGCTCGTAGATTGCCAGAGCTGAGCTACAAGCCTTCAAAGCGAAGTCAGTGGTGAGGCGCAGGTAGGGTCATGTGCACGCGTTGTCAGGAGTCATTTCCAGCCAAGAAAGTCACCAGCACAGGTCAGATGCATGGAAAATGGTAAAGAGCATCTACTTTATCCGAACAGCTCTGAATAGGAATGCCTTGAATAGGTTTCCATGTGAAGAAATTTGCTTTGAAAAAGAAAAATAGAAGTTATTTTTTAAAAAAGGAAAACTTCATTGTGTTTTTTAGAATTAATCACTACCTGATTGTTGTCCTCGATGAACTCTATGATATAGTATGTTTAACTGTTCGCAAAACTTCTGTTTTGCTCCAAAAAAAGAATTAAAATAGACTTTTCGCGTTCGAAGAATTATTGTCCGCGACATTGTGACGCGGCCATTTTCGGACCATTTTTAGAAAAAATTTTTACAATTTTTAGGATACATGTTCTCGAAGCGCAACGTGTGGGTTTTAGTTTTTGAAGGGCTCTTTCACTTCATGCAATCCAATCATTTTTTCATCCTGATCTTCCATCCGAAAATTGAACGTGAACAAACGAGGGCAACTTGTCCGCAACTTTTTGGCGGTCACTGTATGTACATATTTGTGCAGAATAAGTATTGCCTTCGAATGTCGAGTCAAAACTCGAAAAGACAAATCTAACTGTAAGTAGAAATATTCAATCCTTCATCCTTCACGAAATTCCTCACTTTTAGAGATTGGGTAATAAATATAATAAAAATTAACATCAAATTCATCGGAATAGAATTTCCAGTGACAAAAATTTGAAAAATATACGATATGCGAGTTTATTCTCATTAGCTTGTGAGGATATGCCAAATTGTCATTTACTTAGAGTATAAGAAGGAAGCACATGTTCTTTTCGTTGTTCTCTCTCTTTCTTACCGAATTGCGTCGATAAATTCATTGGAACTAGGGGAAATACGATTTTTAGACTTGTTAAAAGATTTTATGGAATAGCCTAAAGGGTATTGGGTAGAACAGTACTAAAGTAAAAGGCCACCGTTACCATATTTACACTGTAAATTTTGCCGAGAATAAACTGACGCACAGCACTGATAGCTCCGAAGCGTGCAAGCCAGCAAAACAAGTCATCGATAATCTGCTTCATGCGTGTGCTAGAAAAATCACGACGAAGGATAATCTTAAGATCATCGTGTCTATAAAGAGCAAGACTTCTCGTTGCTAAAAAAAGCCGTTGTTTATTTTTTCTGCTTTTGGTGCTTGAAATGTAAAATCTCTCTGGATTTTCGCAAAGTTTTTCCACGCTAACTTTCTAAAGATTATGAAGCCACCTTGAGCTTAGACTTATAATATTAGAATCACTCGTCTTTGCTAAGAATGTTCCACCTTTGTGTTTATTTACTGCCCATACAGCAAAACATCCAAGGCACAATGAAAGCAATGTAATCGATCGAGGAAGAGAAGTGAACTTGTAAACTAAAACGACTTTCTATATTCCTGACTTTATCAATCTGTGCAAACTTCTAATTGTCTGCATTCCAAATTTCATTTGTTTATATCGGAATGCAACTGAGCCTTGCACCGAAATCTTTTAATATTCCATAATCTCCTCAGGTTCAATGAATCTTTTTGGAATAATACGATTTGCGGAAATAAGGCCTTACTTCTTCTGATTTTTCTTCAAACAGGAATCATCGTTGTCACATAGCTGCAATAGAACCTGTCGAATGCAAATACTCAAACTGTGTTTTTCATATTTTTAATCCCCGACAATGCTTGAAGGCACAGAAATTTCTAAGCCTACTTTTTACTTGAGTTCTATGATCTACTATGATCTACGCTTTTAACCAAGATAAGTTTGTGCCGGTGAGACGTCTCCGCAAAAAGTTGCAATTTTCGAAATTTTGATTTTGAGTTCTGATAAGGTCTGAAATCTTTAATGTGTGTGATGAAACTGCGTTAGTCATATACAACGAAAAACCAGAAACTGAAACGCTGTTTTCATTTTCAGATGAATTTTTTGGAATTTTTGGTGCAAGACTCATATTCTGACCTAGTATATTCATTCACATACAGTGCTGGACATAATTATAAAGCCACTCTTGGTGCAAGAGTTTTGTCAGTTTTTTCAATCCATTGGCAAGCGCGCTAAAATGAAGATAAGCAAACACTTCATAAAGTATCCTATGCAGAATTTCTTCCTCTTTCTAGCTGCTAAACCTTCGTTGTGTTTCGTTGAGAAAGTGACGAGATATCTGCCAAAAATTACAACCACTTGTTTTTACCATGTCCAACATTCACTAATTTTCAAAATTTTTGTGTGAGATTTTCGGAGGGGATCTTATAACCTCCAGATAGGGCAAACCTTTTGCCAACAAAAGCAATTTTTTCTTTTTTTAGCTGCTTTTTCAGGATTTTGCTAAGTAACTTTCTGAAAGTCTTGTGTTTTGAAAGAATCGCATAAACTTTCATTGTACCAAACACTGCAAACCTACAGAATACTGAGGTTTCAACGCACGATTATTACTACCGCTACCATTACAAAGTAAATGAGCTATTCTCGCTTTGAATTATGAAGATTTTGAAACATAGGTTACGTCAGTGCGCACTCATGAAATTGAATACTGCGAATTTCTCCATAAATTTCGTAGAAATTCTAATAGACAAGGCGTAGGGCTACAAAAAAAAAAGCCTTTGTTGGCAAAAGGTTTGCCCTATCTGGAGGTTATTAGGGCTCCTCCGAAAATCTCTTACAAAAATTTTGAAAATTAGTGGATGTTGAACATGGTAAAAACGAGTGGTTGTAATTTCCGGCAAATATCTCCTCATTTTAGCAGCTGGAAAGAGGAAGAAATTCTGCATAGGATATTTCTTGAAGTGTTTGTTTATCTTCATTCTAGCGTGCTTGCCAATGGATTGAAAAACTGACAAAACTTTTGCACTAAAAGTGGCTTTATAGTTATGTCCAGCACTGTATAAATAAGTAACTGGATTAAGTTGAGATAAGATAATTTTCAAGACAATTCAGACATCTGTTCAAAGACTATTCGTCTAACACCGGGGTCATGCGGGCTGTAAGAAACACAGTTCAAGAGCGCTAGCGATAAAAACACTTTGACCGATATGTGATAGGATTACACAGGGGCTATCAGACACCTGACCGATTTTTACACAGCGGAATGGGCAACGGTTCAGCTCTTGTACCGAGCGGACTTTCATAATGAAACTCTTTCCACCAATTCCACAAAGGTCTCCGCCTACCTTTTCTATGGGAATCCGCAATGTTTTCAAAAATCTTCTTATTGCAATGTTTTTAGAACTTTGCTGAAGATATCTTCTTTTAGATGGGTACCTACCATGAGCTGCTAGTTTTGTCTATATTTACTTCTATATTCGTACAACTATCAGCAGCATGGTTTTACGGTCGAGACCCTCCCGATAGATGGTCTGTAGGAGAGGTGAGCGCTAGTCAAGCATTTGAGAGCATTTTGCAGTGTAGACAACTGTTCATTGTGATTATAGCACATTATGGCAAATATTTTTTCTCGATGGAATTTTTGGAATTTTTTATTGCGGCTTCTTCAATTTTTCTTGAAGTTTCTTTCATGATTTACCTGCGCTGCGTATCAGAAAAGATATCAAATCTTGAGAAAAATATCTTTTTTGAGAATGAAGGAACAATGACAATTTTTTCTAAGTACAAAATTTTGAACTTACTAGAAAAAAAGAAGAACATTCGCATAATGTCTGGAAGAAAAGATTTACTTACTATTGTTACCGTCAGACTTCGAAAAGCTGTTCGGTTGGATGATTTCTACAAACTCGCGAGTGGTAGAAGATGATTTGAAAGAATTTATTATCAATAAAGTCTTATAGAGGTACTCACCTGTGGCCTGCTCTATAAGATTCTATGTTGGCCGTCATTTTATCTGGGGTAACATTTACATCATTTTCATTCTTCGGGCCTAGATACGAAAATATTAGGTTGATGCACAATTCCTGCACCAAAATAGGTACAGACCGCAATAACTCGGAATAATCCTATATCCCAAGTAGGATTCGATATATCATTTGATAGCGCAAACCTAGCTCTACAAGATGATGCTCAAATATCTACACCAGCTTTGATCCACGCGAAGTTTTGAACCAAAAACTGAAAAAAACCATGCGTCCGAAAACCTTAAGACAGATCTAAAAAAATTGTAACTTCGTTCAAAAAGCTCATACAAATTTTCTTTCTTGCTCACGCGTAGACGTTCCACGTAAGACATTTATCTATGCGGTTGCTGCATTTTTTTCTCAACTAGGCGATGAAAAAACGAAGTTTTTTGAAGTTTTTCATGTTTTTGCCAAATTAGTGCTGAGATGTTCTAGTATTAACAGTTGTATAGTACATGCCGTTAGCAGTGAAACTTTACATTTTCAGCCTTCTAGAACTGCTAGTTCGCGAGAAATAACGAATCTAGCTCTCCTTATTCAAATTTTTCTTGCCTAGTTGCTAAAAATCCGATATTTCTCGTAAACCAGCTGTTCTAAAGAGCTAAAAATTGACATTCACGCTTCTAAGGTCCTATAGTATACAACTGTCAGTGCTAGAACATCTCAGCATTGTTTTGGAAAAAACATGAAAAACTTCGTTTTTTCATCGTCTAGTTGAGAAAAAAATACAGCAACCGCATAGATAAATGTCTTACGTGGAACGTCTACGCGTGAGCAAGAAAGAAAATTTGTATGAGCTTTTTGAACGAAGTTACAATTTTTTTAAGATCTGTCTTAAGGTTTTCGGACGCATGGTTTTTTTCAGTTTTTGGTTCAAAACTTCGCGTGGATCAAAGCTGGTGTAGATATTTGAGCATCATCTTGTAGAGCTAGGTTTGCGCTATCAAATGATATATCGAATCCTACTTGGGATATAGGATTATTCCGAGTTATTGCGGTCTGTACCTATTTTGGTGCAGGAATTATGCATCAACCTAATATTATCGAAGTAAGCTAAAACTTGCTTATGATTTTTTCTCTCTATGAATGTGGTGACACATTCTTGATGAAGTAGATTATGTTATGTGCTACAAACATACACAAACTTGTATTTTAGTTGAGCGTCGGAAGATATACACTTTTGCAAGTTTGAGATTTACGTAGCAATACAAAACACGGCTCGGCACAGGTGGCTTGTAAGCCAGCTGGTATCGTTTTTTTGGGACGAAAAGCAAAGGGGGTTTCGTTTTTGTGACCGAAGAGACACGGAAAATTGGCGACGGCGACCTTTTTTTTTAGTCGACGTTTCGTTTTTTGGGGAATTTTTCAGGTTTTTGAAATTTGGTTGAGGGTCAAAGGGGACTTCGTAAAAATTCCCAAAAGTCAAGGGGGACTTCGTTTTTTCCATTTTCATCTAGCCACCTCAGGGCTCGGCACGAGCTGGCATCAGGGAAATTTCAAAACGAAGTCCCGTTTGATACTGAAAATTTCGTACGAAGTCCCTTTTGACCTGTTTTGAAAACCCGTCATCATTTTTATATTATGTAAAAAAAGTAGTAGTGTTTTCGTGCATTTCTGATTTCATGAAAAAACTTTTCACAGCTTTCTGAGCTTTTTAAGTGGTCGAATCACATCTTGAGAAGCAGAAAAAGCCGATTTTTCGACGGCGGAGCGGACCGAGTGGTTTTCAAATTGCTATGAAACACTGAAAAGAGAATATTATGAAACTGTTTCTTCTCCGTATGTAATCTTTTACAGTGTAGTTACATTTTATGTAAAAAAGTATGAAAAGTTATGTGAACAAAGTGTCGGTGCCAGCTCAGCCGGCACCCAGCTGGCACGGTGCAAGCTAATTCAGAAAAAAGTTGGGCACAGCTTTCATTCACATAAGTTTTCATAAATTTTTGGCCCATAGTTCCGGTCCACCAACGCGCATGCACACACCAAATTTGGTGTCATACTATTGCGTTTTGGCTGAAAACAACGCCTTTGTTTGTTGATGGACACCTTGCCAATGGCATGCTGGTGGCATGCCGGCGGCATTTTTGCGGCAGTTCTCCGCCTCGGCCCCTGTAGAAACGATATCCCCTTTGCTTTCCGCGCTAAAAACGATATCCAGCTTGACCCGGTGCCAGCTGTGCTGAGCCCTGAGCCACCTCGTGCCGAGCCCTGATACAAAAATGCGGCCGTTCGCGACCTGAATCCGACATCTCAAGCGTGAACTGTAGGTAATTGCCACAAAATGAATCTATAATTATTTATGTACAGTTTAGGCTCAATATGATCAACTCAGATTGCAAATTTCAAAATTAATAGCTAATGCTTTGCAGCAAATCATAATCATACAACGACGAAAATGATTTCGCCAACCTGAAAGAATGAAAAATCAGTTGCAAATTTTAGATACCAGCCCAACGTATTTGCAAAGGGCAGTAGTCATGTACTAGCATTTACTCAAGATTATCTAAGCTGCTATGCATAGTTGCTATTTGCACTCTTAGAGACTGATTAGATTCTGTTTGTCTTGCGTTCGCTATAATGTGTCCTAGAAATGGAGTTGCCGAATTTTTCCGAAGAGTGAAATATCCATTTATTGTTTTGGTGCATTCATTCGACGAGCATTTTCGTTACATTGACAAATGGAGACGGCAGCAAACGGAATTTGAAAAATAAAACCGATGTTCATTCAAATTCAATATTTTCGATATCAACAATTATCGCTTATTCTTTCGGTGCCGTCAAAGCTTTCTCGGGAGAATCATAAGCCCTCTTTCTGAGTTGTTGCAGAAAGCATACTTTTCGAAAAGCTAAACAGAAGAAATGAATATAAAGATAAGAAAATATATCGATTAAATTATTGAGTTTTTCGTATCGTATCAACTAAAGGGTGAAATCTTCCTTCTTAGGATTTTTATAGGATTATCTATTCGCGACAAGAACTGTTTTCGCTGCCCAACTCGAGATCGGTACACATTTAGTGTACATGACCCTGACCTCGACTGAAAATTAATCACTGCCAAGGTTCTTCGTCTCAATCGCACTTCTTTAGTCATCGGAGATCGGGATCACTGCCTATACTAGCCTGATCTCCCACAGTGAAGATTCTTTTCATGGGAAGCAGTGCTGAATTTACTTGCTGTTAGCATATCTTTTAGGGCACTTGTCGAAAATTATGATCCGGAGAGTCTATGCATTTACAACTTTTGAAGGTGCTGTAACATTGGATTTGTGTTGAAGTGAAGATGGTTATATTATGTGTATTGCTTTGAAATATGTATCAGGTTGTAACCATGGTCAAGCAAGGGGTGTGGCACACGATCGCTGGTTATGACCCCCCCCCCCTGATTGCTGTCTTAATAAGACCCCCTGAATTACATACCTAACAAGGGAATGGTCAGAAGTCGAAGTGGCCAATCCATACAAGCTGCATATCATTCGATGCAGCGTTGAATTCTGACTTCAAATCTGTCTTCCATATCTGCAGAGCGCCTTTGTAGGCAAAATTATGAACACCTTTACTGCGAAAAAATCGCACACAAAAATTGCGAAATTAGGCACATTATTGCTCTTTCAGCTCACCTCTAGGTACGGGCCATATGAACTGACCTAGCTGCATGTTTTGGTCCAACACTGAGCCAGGAATGGCTTTGTACGGCTAAGTTTGCACTTCACACGCACAATTTCTTAGCAAAATAATGGCTTTCAACGGCTTATAATTTCGTTCACAAAAGCGCTCTGCAGATAAGGAAGACGGATTTAGAGTCAGCGTTTTATGCTTCATCTAATGGTATGCAGCTTGTATGGATTGGCTGCTTCGACTTCTGACCATTCCCTTGTAAGATAGCATTAACTGAAGGCCCTGTCAAACCTAATGGGCAACATATCCATAATGGGCATGTCAATTAAGCCCTGTAGACAAAGTTTGAGCTCTGAAGATTCAAGATGCTAGGCTACCTATAGGGGCCTGCAGGATCGCGAGAGTCGGACGTGCGTACGGCCAATGCGCCGCGCACGTCAGATGTGCGTCCGACGATCAGGTAGGTGCCAGACTCACCCTGTTGAACAGGTTCATTCGGTTTACCGCCTTTGTTGTTGGAGAGTGTAGTAATTTGACCTGTGAACCGAACGAAACGGCTGAAGCGGATAAGTTTGGCACTTGCCTTAGTGACATCGGACGTGCGCGGCGCATTGGCCGTACGTACGTCCGACTCTCGCGATCCTGCAGGCCCCTATAAGTGAAATGGTCATTTTTCAACATGATTAACTTTGTTTCAAAGGTGAATTAGCTATCCGTCTTTGCACTCAAGACAAAGCACTACTCCTTCTTTGTCCACCTCAGAAATCCCGCTTCAAAAGACCTCCAAACTGTGAGATTAGAGGTCATCCAAAAGCACTTTTTGGCTGCCACAGCTATTAAGGGGGTATGTCACACCCCATTAACTATATCAAAAAAACATTTTTAGCGAACCTATTTATCTGGATCGATAGCCTAGATCTCCTAGTTCTCACACGAGTGATTTGAGCCTGATTCGTTTTCTTTGCTCTGAGTAATATTTGGTGAAAGCACAGCCATCAAAAGCGAAAAATGGGAAAAATGAGATTTTAGTTGGCTTCTAATTCCACAGTTTGGAGGTCTTTTGAAGCGGGATTTCTGAGGTGGACAAAGAAGGAGTTGTACTTTGTCTTGAGTGCAAAAACGGATGGCTAATTCACCTTTGAAACAAAGTTAACCATGTTGGAATATGACCATTTCACCTAGGTAACCTAGTATCTTGAATCTTCAGAATTCACTCAAACTTTGTCTACAGGGGTTAACTGACATGCTAATTATGGACATGATACGAATGTCATGTTATCGCTATTATCAGATTACCCAGCTACGACCCCCTTCCCTTTTGACTCCTCAATACGACACACAGGTATGGCGTGTCACACCCCACGCTTGACCCTGGTTGTAACTTAATTTCCCAATTGGTCAAATAATAACTCATATTCCATTTAACTCAGATATCTGGGGTAGCACTTGGTGGAGCAAAGCAAGCTGTACAAGATGATTTACAGTTTGGTTTTGATTCACGAAGTTTGGCCAGAAACTAACAGATCCGACTACCAGAAAATCAAAAAAAAATTGAGATTCCGTCCTTAAAAATCTTGTTACTCGCTCAGGAAGTTTAATATCAGACAATTATATGTACACTTTATTTCGGCTGAAAACATGATAGAAATAATGAAAATTTTCTTACTTTCGCCAGAGCGGTGCATGGCTGTGCTCGCATTGATGATTATATACAGTGAGCCTATATAGGCGAGCGTAAATTTTTAGCCTTCTACGACTGCTGATATTCGAGAAGCATACCGGTATATTAAATCTGCTCCTCTCATCTTGAGATGAACTAGATTTGATATATTGATATGCTTTGGAATTGATAATTAATTTGCATCTTTCGGTTTCTTGTATTCGGTATTACTTGGAAACCAGCAGTGTAAAATTCACGTTTGGTACTACTGAAGGCTTGCAGTGCATAATCACTAGTGTGAAAACAGCGTCCGGTATGAAATCTGTATTCTTAATATTTCACAAAAACTCCAATTCCCCCCCCCCCCTTGCAGGGGGAAGTTAAAATTTTTGCGGGGTAACTTTGTAAACAGTTAGAGTCCATTCAATTATTCGGACACTCTTTAGTTTTCTCTTCAACTTCGCAAATTGAAGCTGGTGCAGAATTTTCAAACACTTTCTTGTAGAACTTAGTTTACTCTATCGAAAGCTACTTCAGAACCTACTGGTACAAAAGAAAAATATAACTTATTCGATTTGAACCTGTTTTAATGTGAAACTTTATGTTAATAAACTGACATTTTCAAAAGATTTGTGAAGTAAGTATCAAAGAGGCTGCAGAAACCATACATCACAAGCTAGGCTTCAAGATGCTTCATTGCTACATTAGGTTGGAAACAAAGAATACCGCTTCTCATCTCCTCGTCATGGCATCACAACAGTTCAAATCACACAAACGTTGTGGGATACCATTCGATAGAGCAAAGCAAGAGGCTATTTCACGTGGAGTTTGAAGATTGAATCTATAAAGCTTCAAATGACCGAATCATCAGAAAAATTTGTATCTCCTCCCAAAAAATTTCTGCATAACCTCAAATTGCTCAAGGAGATACATTCCTCATCAAACATTCATATGCGCAGTTACGTAGTTTTTCCTTGGCTTGATAAATTTATGTTTTCGCCAAAGTGATGTTGGGCTGTTTTCTCGTAACATTGTGGGGTACCATTCGGTAAGGCAAAGCAAGAAAGAGGCTATTTCCACGTGGAGTTCGAAGATGGAAAATTAATTAAAGTAATTCTCCACTACCTAGCATTGAAGGTAAAACCGTAGACTTTCAGTCTTCCACAAGTGTTAGTAGTTCTCGAGAAATATTGAATTTAGCTTTTTTTCTGCTTTTCAATTGATTCGAGATTTTACGAGAACTAACTGTTGTAGAAGGCTGGAAATCTGTATAGAATTACTTACGCGGAACAGCCCAGCATCACTTTGGCAGAAGCTTAGAAAATTTCAATTTTTTAGTGTTTAGTAAGTTAAATTTTCAACAACGTCGAGCTTATGAATGTTTGATGAGATACATACGTCCGTGAACAACTTGGAGGTTTGGAGGCCCGAAATTTTTCGGACTGAGGTAAGAATTCTTTCAATTTTACGCTCATTTGAGACTTTTAGATTCCATCTTCGAGCTTCACTTGGATAGCCATTTTAACTTGCTTTGGTCAATCGAATGGTATCCCGTACACGTTTGTAGGGTTTGAATTGTTGCGGTTCTATGACGAGGGATTAAAAAGCGACATTCTCCTTCCAATCTACATGCCTTGCTACGAGGCTCAAAGCAAAAATATAGCTCTTGCCAAACAGCATACCGAACGCTGATTCAAGATCTGATTTCACAAAAAATGGAGTTGTAAGACCTGCTATTTCTAAGTCATAAGCAGAGACCTTCGATTACCTAGCAATAAGCTTTCGTAATCATTGCATTCTGATATGCTGTTGAGAAGGTGCGTTTGATTTACATAAAGATATCTACCCAAAAAATAACCTGATATTGATAGGCCGAAACCTGCAAAAATTCGGGTTTTAAACTGTCTGAGTGCTCGTACTTATCTGATAGCAGAGATCGTGAAGTGAAAACATATAACATACTAGAATTTTCCAGATCTGGCCCCTTCCACAACAAGTAAAATACGGGGACTTAAATCGCACAATCTGTCAAGAAAAAGTCGCTTTCGAACTAGGTGATAAGAAGGACTGCGATGTTTTGTTTATGAACGCCGAGAACTACTGCAAGTTGTATTGACAAGATTATGAGTAAAGATCACTACTCAATCTTTTTAATTTCAGTGAACAAATGGATGTTTCCGTTCCCAGTTCCGGCAAAACGGACCGTAGACGAATTTTTGATAACTGTAAAGGTTGCAGGGGACTGTCCAAAATCTGTGCCGAAACATGGTGAAAACGAAGAATGTAAGTTAAAACTGCTCAAATACATACACAGATACACATGTCATATCCTAAAAAGTTTACCTTTCACTTTTGCAAGTCAGCTATTTAGCACTAGGGGCTCAACAGTTTTGATAGAAGTCAGAGAGGATTCCTGATCCACAGTGTGTCAAAGAAATGGGAAAAAACTTCTTCAATTTATTGTTGTGTTCTTCTCAATTAAAGGCAGCGTCTCGGCAGATTTTGCATTTCCATCTTTTTGCATGTTTTGGGCCTTCTCGACCCGTAGATCCCGAATCTGAGCTTTGAAAGGGGTGAAAAGGCCATTTTCGGGGCGTTTTTTTTCAATTTTCAAAGGGCAGCTTGGACGAGAATTTCAAAGGAAAGTCGGAAGGCCCTGGCACGAAGACCCTGCTGCCTGTAATTTTGGCTTTGTATAGCATGCACAATGCGGGGAAGCGGTTGGGGGTCCCGCGCCGTCTAGCGGAGAATACTCGTCCGAACAAGGTGTTAGGAGAGCGAAAGGAGGAAGGGGAGCGGCGCTTGGGCCGCTCCCCTGGCTTGCAGAGTTCACATTTTCGGCGCGGAGTTGCTGTTTTGGTTCACTTGGAGGGCCTCCTATCCATCTGTGTCAAAATCTGAAGTAGGTCAATCTGCCGAGCCGCTGCCTTTAAGGCAAACACTGCACTCCGCATCTGGGATTCTCGTTGTCAAGCTCTAGCGCACGATATCTTCCTCAGAATCTTCATGCAATTTCGCAGAGATCTGCTACCTTAGATCCCAGCGGCTTGGTATTGAAAGCTCCCAGAAGTTCGTCTCTTTTTTTCCTAAGGACCTCCTCTCGCTTCCGTACATACACGGATAAAGAAATGCGTCATTTCGTCATCGAGAATTTGGTTCATATTGAGCCAGACTCTCGTCAACTTGCATCTTAATCGCTGAAACTGGGACATATGAAGAAGCACAGAGAAGAAAATTACTCTGGTAACTTTGGTACTGATGAGATTTCGCACAGTTGGCGTACAGATTGTAACGAAGGCAACACTTGAGGGCATTGAAGCCAAACTAACCAGAAATTTATTAATGGGATGCATCAGATCTGTTCATTAACTTCAGAGTTACGCTAGTGACTTGCCATCTGTAGTTGCACTTTTACCGACAGTGATTCGCATTTGTGACAACATATTTTGTTTAGATAAACTTGTTGTAACGGAGGACGGAGCCACGATATCCGCAGAAACGGTATGGGGCGCCATAAGAGGAATCGACTCGCTCAGCCAACTAATTTTCTACGACCAAGAAAAAGGAAAGGTTTGTCAAATCACAGAAGAGCTCACTGCAGTTGATTTATTCACACATCGGATCAACTAATCGCATTAATAAGGGAAAAATGAACTTTGATTCATTTTTAAAATCATTTTCTGGGTTGAATTTGGAGAAGCAAAGTAGCCATATTTTAGTACAATATAAGAACGGTGGAAATCTATGACTTTCCGCGCTTCCCTCTTCGAGGTCTGATGATCGACACTTCGAGACATTTTCTCTCGATGAAAGTTATAAAGAGACAGCTGGTATGCTAAAGAGTCTATAAGTTTTTTTTTGGTCCCAAAAAATCATTCCAGGAAATCATGGCTATGAACAAAATGAACGTTTTGCACTGGCATCTCGTAGATAGCGAATCATTCCCTTATGTTTCCAAAAAGTTCCCAAACCTTGCAAAAGTTGTAAGTTGGAGTTTACCTTAACAAGTTCAATATCTATTGTATTCAAGAAGTCCAATACATCAGCGCCTTTCAGGGTGCCTACTCACCAAAGCATCAGTATACACCAAAAGACGTGCAAGAAATTATTGACTTTGCTAGGATCCGCGGAATTCGCGTCATACCAGAATTTGATCTACCAGGTACGAATTTTTGCTTTCTATAATATTGAATTTTGAAAAATTTTCCTAGGACACACGGGGTCATGGCAGGGACAACCAGAACTGCTTACGGAATGTTTTGATTCGGCTGGAAAACCCACACATCTACCTAATCTTGTGGATCCAAGCAAGAACTCTACTTTCGAGTTTCTGGAGGTAAGCTCCAAATTTTATATCATGAGTACTTGATCGCAACATTTTAGGAATTTCTAAATGAGGTGGTAGAGACGTTTCCCGATGAATACATGCACCTTGGAGGGGACGAGGTCGAGGACTTCATTGTAGACTGCTGGTATGTTGACTTCAAGCTGTTTATTCCAACGATTTTTCAGCGCTTTTTAAGGGCGCGGAATCCCAAAATCAAAAAATTCATGGAGGAGAAATCGTTTAACAACACTAGGCTTCTTGAGAACTATTTCTTTGAAAGGTGAGACAATGCCAAACTTTTCTTTGACATCTTTTCATCTAAATTCCTACTCTTCATGGTATTGGAACCTACATGACCCACTAGTCTTCAAGCTTACAACTATAGGTTTGAGCTCCTGCTGACTTTCAACCACAGCTACTAGGAAGACGACAAAGTGATGAATAACTTTGCGAGGACTTCTCTTTTAGATATAGCCCAGAACTCAAATTTGAGAACGTTCAACTTTGCCAGCGATTAACCATAATCTTATTATGAATAGGTGACTATAAAAACCCTCAAATTAACTGCATCCACAATTTTCTGCGAGTCAATCAAACAATTTTGGGGTTTCAGAGGGCACGGATCACCAACCTACCGATCTTTCGTGGCGGGAAGAAAAGCCGCGCTGACCCCTTCGGCAGGGTATAAGCCGGGAGTCAGGGGGAGGCCTCAGACAGCGCTGAGGAAGCGCTAGCGGGAGCTAAAGCCATCGAAGAGAGGCGGATCTTCCTTAGATAGAGAGTATCCAGTAAGCCTGCCGCAGAGGTCAAAGAGGATAAAGCCCGTCGTTTCGTTGTCAAGCTTGTTCAAGTTACACGTTCTTGTTTCTTTTTCTTCGTTGCCGTTTTCTGAGATATTAGTCGTTCGATCCGTGTAGTCTATCGATCCGGTTGAAACCGTTATACCACTAGACCACCACGGTTACAGGGGTGGTAGGATGCTAAATCCTGATGCTCCGAATTTTTTTAGTAAATTGATCATATATATAGGAGTCTTGGAAAGACCCATCGACTTTTGCTGTTTTTTGTTAGCCATGTTCCAATTTTTGAAATGCTGACCATTATCTGCATCCCAAATCCGCTACTGGATCCTATTATAGCATGAAACATGTCACCATATCGTTTGTCATCAGCAAGTAGTGCGTCTACGGCTTGGAATGGCTCATATCATCAGTTCCTGTTGACTAGCATTGGCGTCTTTCTCGTAATTTTTAGACCCTTCGGTCTAGCTCATTATGCAAACGCTGCACAACTCTCACTTCCTCTGAAAACCTTGAGCTGGAACACTTTAGCTCACTGACTTTAACTGAAATTTTTTGACTTTTATGTAGGAACAGAAACAATCGGAAATCTGTTAATGATAGAGAGGTCTGACTTTGTACGCCCAAGTAATTACGATACGTTACAGGCTTTATGCAGTCTTAGCCAACTTGAAAGTCAAGAAAAGAAGAATCTTTTGGCAGGAAGTCTTTGATAACAACATACCAGTGAGTTTCACAGCCTATCTTCTAGCTATAAGCCAATATACTCCCAATATCGTAGGAAGAAAACTCCATTATCCACGTCTGGAAAGGAAGTACCCATGAGGAGATCTTGCATAAGGTGAAGAATGTCACAGCGAACGGCTTCGGCGCCATTGTATCTGCGTGCTGGTAGGACTTTTGATTTTTCTGTTTACTAGTCTGGTGATGAACTAGCTTTTCAAAAATTTTAGCGGTTTTTAAAGTCTTCAAAGCATCTAACTCTTGAGAATTATACTTTGCCAGCGTTAGAAAATGCATTACAATTTCACATTGAGATCCCCATTTTGGAAATCCATATGAAGCACAGTGAGATAGCATAAAATTTGCCATTCTATAGCCAGTGGTTGTCTGAGCAGTATATCAAAAACGAATTTCACTGAATTCTTTCACATACGAATTTTGCAAAAAAAGCTCAAAAAATCAGTTATTTCGTTCTTTTTGAGGTGGCAGAAAATGCAGTTTTCCAATTCTTCAATCTATTCGCAGTCGGTAACTGAGAATTAATTCTACTTTTTGATTATTTGCCCTAAGTCCACCTTCTTTGGAGCGAAAGTTGTAACCGCATTGAGCTCATGATTTTCATGGGGCTGATAGGGACTACAACTACAACGGTAGGGATAGGGACTACAACTACAACGACTACAACAGCGGATTAGGTTCATGCTGAGAAACTTCTGAGCTCATAATTTTCAAAAACATACCTCATTAAGCATCTTGTAGCACAAACACTATCCGGGTCGCTCGAGCACCGCCGCGTTCTTCTACCCCCAATAAACATGTTGTTTATTCTCATACTACTATTGCCGCATGGTTTTCAGCGGAAGGATTTGAACCTGGACGTTCAGTCAACAAGTTTGGTAAGGCTGAGAAAAACAATAGCCGCGCTTTGCTCAAACTGTACTTTGGAGTCATACATGTTATCTTTCTTGGAATGCTGCTGCGCGGTATCTTGCAGAAGGGATCAAAGCTCCACCAAGTCACTTCAGCATCGCTTCCGTAATTGCCATTATTGCACTGTGGCCGATTTTGGTAAAAATCTCAATTTGAGAAGAAAAACGGTGTAGAAAATGCACTTTTATTTCAAAACGAAGTGCAACTGCGGCTGTGCTGTAGTATGAAGATCCGGACCTTTGAACGCTAAGTATGTTTTGAAAAATGAACTCTCGTTTTTCATGTAAAATATTGTGAAGATCTCAATTTGAAAAGCATTCATACTGTTGGATTTTTTCTTTGAAAAGTAGACCTTGCATGCAGTGGTCTCGCTGTTCAAAGATAAGAACTGTTGAAAGCTAAAATTGTTAAGAAGTCTCAAAAAATACAAACTCTCGGTCTCTAGTGTGTGGGAATCTTGCGAAAATCTTATAACTTCTATTCTGCATTTACCCTAGAGAATACGCACTTTTTTCCAAGAAAAGAAACTCTGCAAGCAAACTATGATTTTGAGGTTTTAGTATAAAAGCGGGAACTTTTCAACGCCAAGTATTTTTTGAGAAAAGTTTTCTTTTCCATGGAACTTTCGTAAAAATTTCAAATTGAGAAGCGTTTTATAGCGCAAAAAATGCTGTTTTTTCTCAAAATGAAGGCTTAAGCAAACTGTGATCTCGACGGTAGTGTAATCGAAACTTTTTGAGGCTACGTACTCAAAAGAAATGTTTCTCTATAAAGATTTCGTGATAATCTCGAATTGGGAAGCATTTATACTCTAGGAAATGTTTTTTCCTCAAAGAAGACTCTGTAAGCAAACTGTGGTCTCGCTGGTATGAAGCTTACAACTTTTGAAGTTCAAGTATTTTATCGAAAGCAAGTCTTTATCAACTCTTTACCCCAACCCAATTATAGCGACCATTCGGGTCGCTACAACCCTAAAGTCTTACAGATAAGTCCGCCTTTTTGACACGAAAAATCGATGAAAATCCGTCCTCGCGCCGCCAAAAGTCTTGCAGATAAGTCCTCCCATCAGATAATTCCGCCTTCAGGTAAGTCCGGACTTATCTGACAGATTTTAGGGTAGTTATAATGGAAAGAAAGCGGACTTATCTAAAGGCGGACTTATCTGAAGAGCCATATTCGAGTCAAAAAGAAGCGGACTTATCTGACGGCGAACTTATCTAATGGGAGGACTTATGAGATAAGGGTAAACAAATATCTACGGAAACCAGACTATGCTACAGAAACTAGAGAATACGACTCTCGAACAATGTGAGCAATATTTGTAGGAAAGCTTCCCCCTTAAGCAGCAGTCCAAAGAGAATATGACAAAGGGACAAACTTTTGAGTACAAGTTTGATATAAGTGATGTAGCACTTGAGATAAATTCTCGTAAAAAATTTTACTCTGACTCGAGTTGGTACATTTTGGCAAGCGCAACTACCTTAATTTCTGTAATTTCCACTGTAAGCGTAATCAGCACCTATGAGCGACTGCCACATAAAAGTGCTGGTTCTCGATACACCATGACATTAGTGCGGTGTTGCAGCATTAGACTAGAAGGGAGAAAACCGCTAGGAAATTTAGGATCAAGTTCTGGTAGAGGTTTTTGACTATTTGTGAATTACCTTTTGACTATGAGCAGCAAAGAAGGGTCTCACAGCGACTCTCCGTCTTAGCTTTAGCGGAGACCGTGCACTCGTCCAATTTCAGAACGGAGGACAGTGGGAAGAGCAGGTCTCGCCTTTTTCGCGCTTTCTAAGACGGATTTTCGAATTGTCGTTCGGATAGGTTTATTTTAGTGACAAAGCTAAACACTGAGTTTTTGCCTGCCACTGCCTTTAAGCTCTCAGGGACTCGCACCGTGCGGGCGGCCAGCGACGAACTTACAATCGCTCGTTGGTGTGTGCGATTGTACGGTCGTCAAGGGCCGTTAGCACGGTTAACGTGGGGCGCCCGCACGGTTTCTAATGCTCGCCGCTTGCGCGGGGAAGGTCGGCCGCTCGCTTGCTGCTGGAGTAGGTTTATCTGGGGTATTTTAACCATTTTTCTTAGGTATGTTAAGCATTACATATTGCGAACACGGACTAATGCCTGCCGCACTACCCAAACTTTCCATGGAGAAGCCCACACCATCACTCTTGATAACTGTAGCCTCACGCAGGTTCATTCCAGCTTTGCGGTGAAGGGAAATGTTGATAACACGATAGTTGACGCTTAGCCAGCCTAAACGCTGCGTCGTATCTCATGCAGGTACCGTTTACGCTCACAGTGTGTGAAAACAATGAGCCGAAGGTAGAGGTCACTGTTGGCCGCTTGCATGGGCAAATGTTTGCCGCCCGATCGAACGGGCACATTGCCTGCCGCTTGCACGGTCGGTTTTATTGCGTACCGATTGCGCGGCGAGATTGCCTGCCGCTTGTACGATTAAGTGATTGCTGGCCGATCGTGCGGACGCATTGCCTGCCGCTTGCACGGTCGATTTTATTGCGTGCCGATCGAACGGGTAGACTGTCTTCCGCTTGCACGGCATTTTTATTGTTGACCGCACGCACGGTACATCAAAAACTATGCAGTGCGCTCAGGCGGAGGAGCTTCAATGAGGACCGCCCGCACGGCGCGAATCCCTGAGCTTGTGGGGCAATCATGACCAAGCAGAGAAGAAGGATGAGGTTGCATGATTTTCAGATAAAAGCTCACACCTGCTAAAGGGGAGTGGTTGTCATCCCTCCTATTTCCTGAAAAACGATTACATCAGAGTTTTTCCAATCTGCAATAATTTTACCGCTCATAAAACAAATCTGCAAAAAAAACCAAAACTGAAAAACAGCGACTTCTACTTTGTAAACTGGTGTCTTTGTGCTTTCTCGCTGATCATAAAAAATTTCAGGTACCTCAACTATATAAAGTATGGAGCTGACTGGAAGGATTCGATCCCGGAATACTCCCCGTCAAACTCACGGTATTCGAGCGCATTTGAATAAAGCTTGCGTTACATAGACCACAGGCTTATGTGAAATATTTTTAGGTATTACTACTGTGATCCCACCAATTTTGAAGGAACAGATGAACAAAAAGCCCTCGTTTTGGGAGGCATCGCAGCCATATGGGGTGAGATGGTAGATGATACAAACATTGAGAGCCGATTATGGTAAGTACCATTACATTAATGGTGTTAAGAGGAGATATTGCTGGGTTCCATACATGAGCATGCTAATTTCCATTTTCAAACCGTTTAGATGCTACTATACCTTAAAGGCAGCGTCCACCCAGAATTTGGCCCCCCCATGTTTTCGTCATTCTAGGGTCTTTCCGTGGTCCTGATTACAGTTCCGAGCTTCAAACTTACTAATCACAAAAAACCCGATTCTTGGGGACCCAGTTTTGAGGGCGTGGACGAGTTTCGAATTGCTCGTCCCCGTCGGCAGGCCAGCGGGAAGGAGCTGCAACTGCATGGGTGCAGTTGCATTGCAGTGTGCAGTGTGCAGCTTCTGCTCACTTTGTCAATACGTGTCACGAGGCACGTATTGACAAGGTAGTGAGCAGTCCCTGATGGGCGGAGTCTGATATCAGACTCCGCCCAGCCAGAGACTTTCAGGCTCCTTATCTCCATTCAGAGACAACGTTAGAAGACCGGACCAACGCAGATGCCCCTTTTCTGGGGCCTACATTCAGGATCGACACTAATCGGAAGGGGTTAGGTTTAGCCTGGACACTGCCTTTAAGTAACATCGTGTAACTGTCGTTTCGTTCTTCCTGGAGAATTCTATAGGCTATCATTCGAAAAAGGCGCGTCGCTTCTGCTTCGCAGAGGCTCGCATTGTTTTATCTCAAAGGCAGCGTCCACCCAGAATTTGGCCTCCCATGTTTTCGTCATTCTGGACCTTTCCGTGGCCCTGATTACAGTCCCGAACTTCAAACTCTCCAGAATTCACAAAAAAACCGATTGAGGACCCTGTCTGAGGTCGCGGACGAGTAATAGCTCGTCCCCGTCGGCAGGCCAGCGGGGAGGAGCTGCAACTGCATGGGTGAAGTTGCAGCAGTCCGCAGCTTCTGCTCACTACCATGTTAATACGTGTCGGGAGGCATCCCTGGCTGGGCGGAGTCTGATATCAGACTCCGCCCACCCAGGGACTTCCAGACCCTTATCTCCATTCAGAGACAACGTTAGAAGACCGGACCAAAGCAGGTGCCACTTTTCTGGGGCCTACATTCAGGATCGACACTAATCGGAGGGGGTTAGGTTTAGCCTGGACACTGCCTTTAAAGAGTGTGAGCTAGACTTACGTGATGGTTCTATTCTCATGATCATCCTTTTTGATTGGCCGCGCTCCCAAACAAAAATGAATCTCCCTTGCTGAGACATGCTTCCGAGAATTTTATATCATACTTCACTAATTTTCGAGACAGAGAGACAGAGATGAATAATAATAATGTTTGAGTGTTATTATATAGCATTAATGTTAGCCTAATAAATATGGCTATGAGTCTTGGACGTGGCTCAACACCTGAATCATTACAGAATTATTTGATTCAAGTGCTGAGCAAAGTATCTGTAGTTGCAATTAACACTCGTGTATAAATGCTTTTAAATAGTATAGCGCTTATTGTTAGTAGTATGTTTTTTTGAATGCAGCGTTGAATATGCGTTGTTGCGAGGGATGGACTTCTTAGTTCAGCTATTTCATGCTTTTCATTCTTTCAGGCCGAGAGCATCTGCAGTTGCAGAAAGACTATGGTCACCCAAGGAAAACACCAAAACTGTAATTGTTCACGAAAACTTCGCTGTTCTACCAGATTCTATTCGCCATATATTAATATATTTAGGCGGAAGAAGCATGGCCACGAATGCATGAACAACGATGCCGCATGGTAGCACGAGGATTCCGCTTTCAGCCCACTAATAATCCCGATTTTTGTCCATACGAGTTCGATGCCTAAGTCTGTGTTCAATGCCCAAATTTAAAGCACACGCCTTGCCTTTGGAGCAGTATAAATTATTAATAAGCTATTCGATGCATATAATTCAACTCTGAGGAAAAAAGTGCGAAATGACGACCCAGAGCCAGATTGAGACAAAAAATGGTGCGTGTAAATAGGTGTAAATGGTGAGTCCTGGTCGTACGACAAATCTGCGTGAAAGGGAGTGTCTTCAAGCACTTGCTCTACTACCAATGTCCTTTTATTGATTTCAAAACCTTTTTTAGCTCACCCGGCTGTGTAACCAAATTATCACCGAAAATTGCTCTGTTAGAACCTATATTCATAGGCATTGTTAATGCATAATCGTTAGCTAACGGCTCATTATAAATTATAACTTAAAATTTACATCAAAGTTTTTGCATTGCTTTTTCAGAAAGGCTTGTTTGCATCGCACACTATACGAAACAATACAAAAACAAAAGCTTTGATATAGGGGAGCCTCCAGTCGATTCAAAAAACTAATTACAATACCACCCGTAATTTGTGAAAAAAAATGGCGGCGGCACTTAACTTACGCGGCGCCGCCGAAGTTAGGTGACTTTTGCCGCGTCGCGCGGCAAAAGTCGGCGGAAAAGCGGCCAAAGTCACCTAACTTTGTCGCGCAACGCCTAACTTTTTATAAAAAAAGACCTTATCTTGATTCAAAATTCATGAATTCTATATATAAGAGTACCATTCAACTCAGCTCGGCGAGGCGCATCTTCCAGTATACGGATGTGCCTAGTTGTGGGATATAAGTTTCTTTCCTGGAATTTTAGTGTAAATGGACCATTCAGTGTGCTTATTCCAGAGGATACGTACACATTCTATTGAGCACAGCAGAAATAGGGCAGGTATAGTTTAAGAGCTCATTCTGCATGGATATGTGTGAAAGTGGGCTTTTCTCGGCGAAGTATGACGGGTCCCAAAATGCAGGAAGACAAAGGGAAATGGTTGGAAATCGCATGAGAAGCACATATCGCGGAATGCCGCGCGTGCTGTGCAATGTACAATACCACTCACAGAACGGGAATTGCGCGAAATTCCAGAAATTTCGCGATTCCGGATTATCGCAAATTATGCAGCGCCATAACTTCCTTCGGAATTAATATATTCTAAATTCGAAAGCAGCACTGTGTTCATCTCGTGAAGGCGAATCTTTCTACGTACATCATGTCATCTATATCTTGTTTTCAGTTTTCTCAAATTGTTCTGAGGAGGTCCCTTTGCAAGTATGTAACGCAGCGCCTATCCAACTTGAAAGCTTCCAGTAAGCACCATTCGATAGTGCTCTTCTTGTGCATTATAGTGCGCTAGTAAGCTGCCGCAGACTTCTTTTCAAAAGAGAAAAAAGCGTTGGTAAATTCTGGAAAAATCACTCGTTTCCAGATTCTACTTGCCGTAACTTTCTTTGGAGTGGATATTTTCTGAATCCGAAAAATGCATTGTGCTCAGCTCATCAAGGCAAATCTTTCGGTATGCAGAATGTCCTTGATATCTCGATTTCAGTATTCTCAAAACTTTCTGCGGACGTCTCTTCGCAAAGGTGTGAAGCAGCGCGTATTGCCCCCAGTACATTCAGAAAGAAATTTTCAATAGTACTTCTTTTGTAGATTATGGAGCGCTAGAAAGTAGCCGCACACTCCTTTTCAAAGGAGTTAGAAGGGCTGGTGAATTCTGGAAAAATCATGTCCTTCTAAATTTTTCTCAACGTAACTCTAAAATATGAAGCTCTCTTGCTAAGCAGATGTGATTTTCGTAATCAGCAGGTCGGATAACCCTTACAGGCAAGTTTTCCAAGATGTTCGAGTAATTTCATTTTTTCTCGTTTTACGCTCTGAAGCTGCCCGATGGATTTTGGTCAAAATGTTCATGCTCTTAAATTGTAAGGAAACTTCGCTTATAGAGGTTTTCGAACACGCTCTTTACGAAAATCGTGGTCTTTGAGGATTGCAGGGTCTTTTTGGTGAGATACGGTGAGGTGACTGTAACTGCATCACGAAAGTGCGTAAATTGGCCCGCACTTCTCGTGTATCTGTCAGCAACCTTGCCTGCTTGCTTTTCTCAGCCAAAGTTACTAGGAACTGCGCTACCGAATGGTGCATGAATCAGGCTCTAGTCTGTAAAAATCACCGAGTTACGAGCCTATGAAAACACGTTCTCATGAATTTTGCCCAAAATCTAAAGATCGCAAATCTCGTCGAAATTCCACCGTGAGCGCTTGTATGACACTCGCATTGCGGATATTGTGTTCGCTTCGCCCAAAAACTCCCACTGTATTGAATATGGTACTTGCATATGCTTCAGCTGCTCAGTTGAATATCAGAGCTATTTCAGTGGCTAGAACTCAAACTACTAAATCTAACACAATAGGATCCATTAAGGACGCGAAAGATTTTGATCAGCGTGTTGTACAAGCGCTCACGGTGGAATTTCGACGAGATTTGCGATCTTTAGATTTTGGGCAAAATTCATGAGAACGTGTTTTCATAGGCTCGTAACTCGGTGATTTTTACAGACTAGAGCCTGATTCATGCACCATTCGGTAGCGCAGTTCCTAGTAACTTTGGCTGAGAAAAGCAAGCAGGCAAGGTTGCTGACAGATACACGAGAAGTGCGGGCCAATTTACGCACTTTCGTGATGCAGTTACAGTCACCTCACCGTATCTCACCAAAAAGACCCTGCAATCCTCAAAGACCACGATTTTCGTAAAGAGCGTGTTCGAAAACCTCTATAAGCGAAGTTTCCTTACAATTTAAGAGCATGAACATTTTGACCAAAATCCATCGGGCAGCTTCAGAGCGTAAAACGAGAAAAAATGAAATTACTCGAACATCTTGGAAAACTTGCCTGTAAGGGTTATCCGACCTGCTGATTACGAAAATCACATCTGCTTAGCAAGAGAGCTTCATATTTTAGAGTTACGTTGAGAAAAATTTAGAAGGACATGATTTTTCCAGAATTCACCAGCCCTTCTAACTCCTTTGAAAAGGAGTGTGCGGCTACTTTCTAGCGCTCCATAATCTACAAAAGAAGTACTATTGAAAATTTCTTTCTGAATGTACTGGGGGCAATACGCGCTGCTTCACACCTTTGCGAAGAGACGTCCGCAGAAAGTTTTGAGAATACTGAAATCGAGATATCAAGGACATTCTGCATACCGAAAGATTTGCCTTGATGAGCTGAGCACAATGCATTTTTCGGATTCAGAAAATATCCACTCCAAAGAAAGTTACGGCAAGTAGAATCTGGAAACGAGTGATTTTTCCAGAATTTACCAACGCTTTTTTCTCTTTTGAAAAGAAGTCTGCGGCAGCTTACTAGCGCACTATAATGCACAAGAAGAGCACTATCGAATGGTGCTTACTGGAAGCTTTCAAGTTGGATAGGCGCTGCGTTACATACTTGCAAAGGGACCTCCTCAGAACAATTTGAGAAAACTGAAAACAAGATATAGATGACATGATGTACGTAGAAAGATTCGCCTTCACGAGATGAACACAGTGCTGCTTTCGAATTTAGAATATATTAATTCCGAAGGAAGTTATGGCGCTGCATAATTTGCGATAATCCGGAATCGCGAAATTTCTGGAATTTCGCGCAATTCCCGTTCTGTGAGTGGTATTGTACATTGCACAGCACGCGCGGCATTCCGCGATATGTGCTTCTCATGCGATTTCCAACCATTTCCCTTTGTCTTCCTGCATTTTGGGACCCGTCATACTTCGCCGAGAAAAGCCCACTTTCACACATATCCATGCAGAATGAGCTGCCCAGTTTCACATATATCCATGCAGAATGAGCTCTTAAACTATACCTGCCCTATTTCTGCTGTGCTCAATAGAATGTGTACGTATCCTCTGGAATAAGCACACTGAATGGTCCATTTACACTAAAATTCCAGGAAAGAAACTTATATCCCACAACTAGGCACATCCGTATACTGGAAGATGCGCCTCGCCGAGCTGAGTTGAATGGTACTCTTATATATAGAATTCATGAATTTTGAATCAAGATAAGGTCTTTTTTTATAAAAAGTTAGGCGTTGCGCGACAAAGTTAGGTGACTTTGGCCGCTTTTCCGCCGACTTTTGCCGCGCGACGCGGCAAAAGTCACCTAACTTCGGCGGCGCCGCGTAAGTTAAGTGCCGCCGCCATTTTTTTTCACAAATTACAGGTGGTATTGTATCATAGTGAAATAGGGAACTCAATGGTCCATGCGAATTTCATTGCTGATACATGCGCGATTGATTACAACAACAGTACGGCTTGTTCGTCGGCACACTGGAGTATTTTCGTAGGAGAAAACACAAGATATGTCTTATAAGTCGTATAGTAGCGACTCCACGGGTCGCTAGTAATCGAGTTGGGCAAATACACATGTAAATGGTTTCAGAATGTAGAAATTCTCAAAACTGAATTTCCGCTTCATCAGCCTATGTATTGTGGAGCCGTTGCTGTCAAGAGCAATTTCCTTGGAAATTTTTCTAAGATATGCCCGGTGAACGGCTCGTGACTGGTTCGCCAAATGGTAACTTTGAAAAAAAACGGGTCTCCACCTATCAGGTGCATGTGTAAATCAATCTTTCAAGTAACTCTGCCATGCAGAACTTCTCCGTCATTAATTTGTTGAGTTCCATACTCACGCTGATAAGAAATCGAGTTTCTCCTACTTTGCTACGATTGTCCATAGCTTTAGCCTATGTACTTGTTTTCTCAGCTCGACGATATAAGTTTTGTAGATTTGATAGTGCAATTGCAGTAGGTACATAGTACCGCCAGTGATTACAACTTTGGAAAAATTGTCGTTTTTGATTGTGATGCGTTTAGTAGTAAACAGTGCACCAGTTTTAAGGGATGTCACTATGCTTTCAATGAGAACTTATAGTGTAAGCCCGAAAAGAGAAGTGTAGTAGCAGATTTCTATCTATTCTTCAAAGTAGATTTCACGCAAATGTTTAGTTTTGCCAAAAAAGCCTTCATCATCCACGGTATGCAGGAGCAGACTTTTCCATTTATCGACAACTTTGAATTAGGTGAGACTCGT